GCCTGCCGCAACGGACTGTAGCCTCCTGCTGCCGGCCACCACTTCTCTGCCCGCCCGTTTCCGTCGCTTCCATTTGTGTGTGGAACTGTGGACTGTGGAGGACGCGGACACCACGCCGCGCTGACACTGACACTGACAGCCGGGCCGCCGCGCGAGCCGGGCCCGCGTGGCATCGGCATCGACGTGGCAGGCGGAGGCGCAAGGTTGGGCAGGTGGCACTATACTAGCTCCTGCCCCGCCCCGACAGAACGGTGCTGGTGCCTCCGTGCCTGCAGCAGCAGCGGTAGGGGTAGGTAGGGCTGCACAAAATATACGAGTTTGTTCGCTTGTTGGTTTTAGCCAGCCCAAACCAGTCAACCAACAGTGTTTTTCTCTTTAAAAAAACCAGCACCAGCCAACCCAAACCAGCACCAGCACCAACCAGCGAACAGGCCCATAAGCGGCTGGTCAACTCGTTATCTCATAGGCTGCTCGACTCGTTTTAATTTTTTGTCGAGTTGTAACTCCCAAGCTAAAACAAACTGAGGCCTATCAGCCTACGACCATGAATCCAGAAGATAATGATGCTGACATAAAAGTGTACATTTATTCTATTGGTATGTAATCTTTATTTTCAGCTGTTTGATATGAATTTTGATTTTATAATTGTTGTGGTACTTAAATGTTGATTTTATGGATTGTTTTCTAGGGAGAAGATGATGATGCTGACATTAAATCTGTGGACTTTCCTAAGTTTGTGGTGGTAAACAACTAGTTAGTATGCTGGAACTGCACGATCATGGATAGACCAGCTATGTTGCATGGTTGATATTTTTGATAAACCTAATATGTATTAATCATGTATGATTATATAATTGTGCACGTTATCTTCTGAAATTAATATAGTATAAATATTATAAATATGTGTGTTTTTTTAGCTCATGAGCTAAACGAACCAGCTCGAGCTCGCTGACGAACCGAGTCGAGCTACCCCTCTAGCTCAACGTCCGAGCTAGTTCGTTAAGATAACTAGCCAGCTCGAGCTGGGCCCAGCCGAGGCTAGATATGATATCCAGCGCTAGGCGTAGGGAGCCTAGTCCTGGCCGAGGCCGTTGCTTTGCTGCTCTGCCCGACTGCCCGTCGTCGTCTCCTGTCCTCTCCGGTGCCAGCGCCGACGCACCAGCGCGCGCGCATGATCCCGCCATCATGGCGCTGCGTTTCGTTACGCGCGCTGCCTGCCTGCCCCTACATGCCAGGGGCCTAGGCGCAAAACCGGCACCGCTACAGGCCGGGGCCGGCAGCCTGCGGGTGGGGCCCAAAGGGCCCTCCAGCTCCCCGCGGGCGTGCCACGTGCAACGGCAGTACCGGGTGGCCCCACCCCCGCGCACCGGGTCAAAGCTCGCCGATATTTTTTGAAAAAATCACCCGAGGGACAGACAGAATGTGGAGGCAGACTGTTGTGGCGTGTGCCCGGTTTTTTCTTTGTGTGTTTGTTTACGAGTAGCCCCCTGCGAAATGTTCGATTCGCATGACGCAATAACTCGTGTAAGTGTACGTAGGAGTATACGTACCCCGTACTCCGTATGCTTCTTCGCACGCTCACACAGATGAATGGATGACAGAGTGGACACGAGGTACGTACTTACGTGCCAGTACGACAACGAAGCTAATCTAACCTAGTACTCGACCTCTTCGTTTCAAAATACGTAATTAATTTTGTATCTACACAAAGTATTCATATAGATACATAACCAAAAATTAACTTATCTTATGGCATAGGGAGTAAGTATATCTAACTCATTTTCAACAAAAAAGATCTCTAATCTAGCTTGGACAAATTTGCGGCGTACTCTAAGAGTCTATGATCGTTTGGTCCTAAACTAAAACTTAGACCATCGTGTAAGAATAGACTAATCTCATAGGCTATATAGTTAAAACCTAAGGCTAAATTATACTCATCCGTCCCATATTAGATGGCACTTTAGAATCCCTCACGGAAACCAACGTTGAAGTCACAAGACCAAATTCCACCTCAAAAGGTCTGTTTGAATCCTTGGGGAAGTGGATTATGAGATTTTTTTTATCTGAATTCTTAGAATCCCTGGGGATTCAAATGTGATCTAGATTCTAGTGGATTTAAACATGAAATCAAATAGAAACACATTAGATTTTTTATCTAGATTCTTAAAAATTTTAGATAAACCTGCTTTATTAAGAATAAAGCAACAACATCTACTTAAAATCTCTAAGGATTCAAACGGGACCAAAGAGTAGAGATAGAGATGTATTGGGGAAAAATACATATTCAGAAAGGAGAAATATGTGTTGGAAAGTGAGAATATTAAGTATTTTGGGACAAAATTTAAATATTACTTTCTCGTTCAAATTATAAGTCGTTTTGATTTTTTTTATAAATTTTATTATATATCTTGACATACGTTATCTTTAGATAGACAACAAAATTGATGTAAAAAATCAAAACGATTTATAATTTGGAACGGAGAGAGTATATGGTAATCTATTTTGGAACTTCTTAGAGAGTAGGATGGAAAACAATCCCAGTATGCATGCATATCTTCTGGAAGATGCGCCCATACGAAATCTCTCTGTGTGTTTTCTTCACGCAAATCTCTCGAACCTTTTTGCCATCCCAGGAGACTGCTCTGGTAATGCGCGTTCGATACAAGCAAATAAAAAGCAGCTGGCCTCGTTGCCAAACACACAAAACAAATTAAAAGCATATATAGTGCATGCATGCCGCGCACACCATTTCCTTTCCTTTTTGCACCCAAGCATGCATGCCTAGCTTGTTTCTTTTTTTAAAAAATGGAGTAAAACTTTTGGTTGTTCCAAAAGAATGCGCTTCCTTCTCTTTACACCAGCTTCCCGGCCGGCCACCTTGAATCTTGCAGATCGATTATTCCCGGTTCTTCTCACCGCCAACAGCTTTATAGTACTGCTTTTATAGTGTGCGGGTTGAGTTGATCTTATGCAATTTTGATCTTTTATCAGTATTATGCCATGTCAGTATATTTACTAAGTTGGTAGTTTTTTATGCTCAAACATCTCATTGAGACTGGCCTAAACAATATCCTCGACAATGCATGTCATTGTTTCAAGCATCTACCGCGAACTTTATGGGATACCACTTGTGCTTTTACCTTTTAGCACTGCTACTGAAATGCATTTGCTCGTACATGGAAAAAAGAGAAGAAATGCACTTGTGTATTCCTTATTTGTCCACACCAAATCGGAGTCCCAACGACACAAATTCCATGCTCTTATCGCAAGCTATACTTTGTCTTGGACATTTACAACTCACATGTAAGCTGAAATGTAATCCTTATGCTCTCGAAAATGAGGAGGTTCTAATTTTTGTCCTAAATCAAAGCATATCAAACCATCCGATATATAAAGATGGTCAAACTTATTGAACTTTTTTAGAACAAAACTTATATAGTTTAACTTTTGACAAAACTTAAACCTCTAATGTTTTGTACAAATGGAGTTGATATTAAATACTATCTCAAAAACCAAAAAAAGATAAGATTCTTTTTTCCTAAGTATTAAACAAAGCTCTATTTTCCTTGAGGAAAAAGTGAATTATAAAATATAACTAAGGACATATTTGTATCTACTACTGAGATTATAATACTCTCTCCATCCTAAAATATAAGATATTCAAACCATTTTAGGATCAGATAAGGAGTATGACAAAATACTAACTCGATCACCTTTTACTAATTAGTTAGTTTAGTTGTTAACATTGATTTTAGTTACTAGTTGCATGAGTCATTGTGGGCAAGATGATGTTTAAAAGGCATGTATAGATGTCATTGATTTCAGTTACCAATTACATGAGTTATTTTGGGCATGCGTGGATTGAATTTATAAGGTTTACATGCATGGATGGGTTGAGCAATCTAGAATACATTATTATAATTAAGGACAAATTTAAAATGTTCTATACCTTATATTTTAGAATGGAGAGTACATGCTAAATTAATCTGATTTGTAATCAAATAAGTTCATGTTGTAGATTCTTATAAATCACCAGATTACGATGATCATATAATCCATATGACATATGCTTTTGGAGATTTTGGGTGTTGAAAAATCTAGCTTTCCCACTTTATCTAAAATGACATCAAACTAATTGGCATAGGCATAGTATTTGTTACTGTAACCAACAATAATCTACCATAAATTCAAGATCAAATACTCTCTCTGTTTCAAAAAAAAGTCAAATTCTCAATGCATTATACTAATCCAAACAATGTCCAAAATTGTATTTCTTAGACCTTTTCTTTTCTCCTAATCATGACAATTAGCAGAGCGGCAGCCGCCGAAGTAGAATCCCGATTTTGCGCAAAGTCAGGGGCTGAAACGTAAACGAGCTGTAAGCCAGCAAAAAAGGCCCTCTTAGTTTCTCTTATCATCAGACTTATTTTTTTTAACCGAAAGCGTGTTTTTCTCTCGCCAATTTTTTTTTTGAGCGAACCGAACGGAGCAAAAGATTGGCCGCACCGAATTTCTTCCGGAGGAGGACGCTGCCCCACCTCGTCCCCTACCTTGCTCCGTCCTCTCTCCTTTTTCTCTCTCCTCAGCTCCCTCCTCCTCCTCTTCTTTACTTTAAAGTTACTCCCACTAGCCATCCCCACTCTTCCTCCGCCTCCGCCCCGTCCCATCACCCCCATTCCAGCTGCCTCGACGCCACCACGCCCCAAAAAAATCCCCCCTCGCCTCGGATTCCCACGCGCCCCCGCGTCGCCGGCGCCCGCCGACGCAACAGCGAGGTACGAAGCGCGGGCGGATGGGGATCTCAGGCGGGCCGACGAACCCCTTTGCCCCCCTTTGGTTTTTGGATTCGCTTCGGAGTCGGTGCCTCTAGGGTTTCTGACGGGCGGGAATGAATGCAGGTGGTCCCGTTCCAGGATTCGAAGGCGGAGGCGGAAGGAGGGAGCGGGAGGATCCGTTCGCGCCCGGAGGACCGGGATCCGGTGCCCGTCGACGCCGCGCCCATGTCGGGCCACCTCGATCGCCTCGCGCGGCCATGTGAGTTCCGAGGCTCCTCCTCCCCTGAACCTCAACGGCTTGGCTTCTCCTCCCCTAGATTTTCTCTCGCGGATTCACGGTGGTGGGTCGCTGCTGGGTTCGGGTTCTCTCGTCGACCGGGCGCATAGGCCGTACGCGTAGGGCGAATTCGACCTGCAACGTTGATACGGTTTTCCCCCCTTCGTTGATTTTTCGTAATCCGGCTGGCTGATTGAGGCGTCGGCGAGCTCGCCGGATTCGCCCTGGTCCTTTTCTGCGGCTCTCACGCGGCGTGCTTGTCTGGCCAATGGAATTTCTGGTGGTTCGGCGGCAAGGGCGAGACGCATGCGCTTTGACCGGTTCAGTGCTGCGTCGTATAGGCAGATGGGCGCGTAGCTTCCTACGAAGGAGAGGTTGACTAAGCCGGGTTTGTCGGTTTGGCAATAAACTTCTGGCGGGCTTTGTTTTTGTGTGGGATTTGTCCCCAGGCAAGTAGTCAACCGCTAGGTTTCAAACCGATTTCCTCATCGGACAGCGCCATGTTGTCTTGACCTGTTCAATAGTGGCAGGCTCTCAAATCTGAACAAATTTCAACGTATGGATAGGACTTATATGCTGAAACTTGCATACGATTTGGAATAGTTGGAGGCCTGAGTGTTACTGCTAACAGTAAGGTTGTAAACACAGAACCATTTAGTCGGGAACCTTAGCTGGATGCTTGGATTCATTGCAGCAAATAATCACTTTGTTGGGAGGTTGTCGTGCCGTCGTGTTCTGTCGCTTCACTGGATAGCATGATGAGCTTCAGAGAAGCTGGAGGTTGTATGTTCGGTTTCTTGAGCAGTTTTCTGTTGAAGTAACTTAGCTTTGTAAGTTTTGTCAAGTTGACTTGGAAGTTTTATTTTGTGGGCAGAACAAGGAGCACTTTTCAATTCAGTTTCAGGGCTTATTTTTATTTATTTAGCTCTTTTCATTGCAACCTTTCAGGTTTTGAGGGGTGCTCAAGCCACGATGAACGTAGAGACCATAAGTCAGACTTTGAAGTCTCTGAAGATGAAAAGAAGACCAGAATGGGCTCTTTGAAGAAAAAGGCAATAGATGCGTCAACTAAGATTAGACATTCATTAAAAAAGAACAGGAGGAAGAGTGGTAGTCGGGTTCTTTCTGTGTCTATTGAAGATGTGCGTGATCTAGAGGAGCTGCAAGCTGTTGAGGCATTTAGACAAGCACTACTCTTGGATGAGCTGTTGCCTGCAAGACATGATGACTACCATATGATGCTGAGGTATATATCCAGTAAATTATGATGTACCTTTTATTTATCTTGATTGATGCGTGAGTTCTCATTTTTCCAAAGCACAAGTGCACAGCTCAACCCTAACTAAATCTAGTCTTTAGATTTTTGAAAGCAAGGAAATTTGATATCGACAAAGCAAAGCAAATGTGGATTGATATGCTTCAGTGGCGGAGGGAGTATGGCACTGATACGATTGTTGAGGTTAGTGGCTGAGCTTAGTCATAAGACAGTTTTTAATTTTGTTTGGCTTATTATATGGCTCCTGTCTTAAAACAACAACCTGAAATTATTTTATGTTTTCCATAGGACTTCGAATACACTGAGTTGGACACTGTTTTGCAATATTATCCTCATGGTTATCATGGAGTTGACAAAGAGGGGAGACCCGTTTATATTGAAAGGCTTGGAAAGGTTGACCCTAGCAAACTTATGAATGTCACAACGATGGATCGATATGTGCGATACCATGTGAAGGAGTTTGAGAGGAGCTTCTTGATTAAATTTCCAGCTTGCTCTCTTGCTGCAAAAAGGCACATTGATTCCAGCACGACAATTCTGGATGTCCATGGCGTGGTATGTCACTGAAGATTTAGTCTCTCATGATGCTTCTCTTCATGAAACTTGACAGTTGATGAGAGCTAATTTGATATGTATGCTTTGTAGGGGTTGAAAAATTTCAGTAAAACTGCACGCGAACTAATTCAGCGACTGCAGAAAATTGACAATGATAACTACCCAGAGGTATGAGCCTCAATTCCTTTCACAGTCTTTGTTGCTGTTTTTTTTCTTGCTTGGAATATATTGGGTTAATTTGTTGCATCTCCAGACTCTATACCAAATGTTTATTGTCAATGCTGGTCCGGGCTTCCGGCTACTATGGAACACTGTGAAGTCCTTCCTTGATCCCAAAACTACCGCCAAGATACATGTAAGTATCCACTGAGGCGCAGACTACAGAACTATTTTTTTGCTTGATAAAATTGCTTAATGTCTAAGATATTCTTATGTTTTTAGGTTCTTGGGAACAAATACCAAAGTAAGCTGCTTGAAATAATTGACGCTAGGTAAGTGATGTTCAATCTACTCTTTCAGGGAATTTGTTTTCTTAATTGGTCACTTATGATTATTGTTTCATTTGTAAAAAAAATGCTCAGTGAATTGCCGGAATTCCTTGGTGGCACTTGTACATGTCCTGAATATGGAGGCTGCCTTAAGGCTGAAAAGGGACCATGGAAGGACCCAAACATACTTAAGGCATGTATCATTAGAGAGTGTTATTGATCCTCCTAGTATTTGTTCTTTGCTAACTACACAGTATAACGTTCTCATTATCATGTATGTATTATTTGTTACCTATTGTACCGATACCAGATAGTCCAAAGTGGTGAGGTTCAATGTGCTCGTCAAATTGTAACTATTTCCAACGGCGAGGAAAAATTTATTACTTATGCCAAACCGAAGCACCACGCAGTAAGTTTCGAATCAATCTTCATTGATTTCTTTTCCAGAATTTTCTGTACCAGAATTTCAGTAATTTGCTGCTTTGTTAAAACCATTCTTTAATGTGGAATTACAGATGCGAGGGAGCGACACATCAACTGCTGAGTCTGGCTCAGAAGCTGACGATGCTATCTCCCCCAAAGCTCTCAGAAGTTACATGCCACATCCTAAGTTGACCCCAGTTCGTGAAGAGGTTAGTGGTTGATCTTTTCGCATATTTTCTGCAATTGCATTAGCATATGCCAGTCCACTAGAACTGCAACCTAAAACCCATTCTCCGTTGCCCTTTGTCACGGCTATGGATTATGCCAGGTGGAATTAATGTTGTCTTTGTCTCTTTATTAGGTCAAAATGATCAGGGCTACGAGCTTTTCTACTCGTCTCCCTGAATATGATGTACCTGTTGTTGACAAGGCTGTGGATGCTACATGGAAGAGAGAGCAACCACGAAAGATACCATTCGTGCCCCAAGGTTTGTTCTTGTCAATCTAATTTGTCGTCTTGAAAGAACTGTTTGGGTTTTTGCTAGTACCTGACATTTGATATTTTGTTAGATGCAGACTCTTCTGTGAAAACTGCGTCCAAACCATCTGATGGCTCCTGGGATAAGATCGCTGCAACTCTGATGGCTTGTCTTATGGCTATTGTAATGTTGGTTCGAGCAGTCAAAGATCTTGCCACAAGGAGATTGCCATATAAAGGTGGGTCAGAAGAAAGCTACTCTTCATTGTACCCAGACTCCATCCAGAAAGAGGAATTCCGTCCTCCTTCGCCGATCCCTGGATTCGCTGAAGCCGACCTATTCGCCGCGGTCTTGCAAAGGCTGGGAGAGCTTGAAGAGAAGGTTCAGATGCTTCAAGAAAAGCCTTCTGAAATGCCTTGCGAGAAAGAAGAGTTGCTTAACGCTGCCGTGCGTCGTGTGGATGCATTGGAAGCCGAACTAATTGTAACGAAGAAGGTAATCTTTTATTAATTATAATTGCACAATGGTAGCACATGGTTTTGCTTCTTGCTTTTGTATACCAGCATACTACTATAAAGCTCATCATGTGCCTGTATATAAAGTTTACTTGGGATTATTTGTGGCCTGATTAGCTTCAGCAGTTTCATTGGCCAGGTGCTTACCATATGCATTTGTTAAATTTCTCTAGGCTTTGCACGAGGCTCTTATCAGGCAAGAGGAACTGCTTGCGTACATCGACAGCAAGGAGATTGCCAAGGCTCAGGTTCGTAGTGCTATAGCTATATCATGATGTTATCCGATCTGTGTTATAATCTCTTGACATCTTTTACCAGTCTTTAATGGTCTTGCTTCCTGTTGCAGAGAAAGAAGAAAACAATGTTTTGCTACTAGGACAAGGAGGGAGATACTTGTCCTTGCCCAGCTGCTTCCGAGAGGAGACACCAAAGATGGCATCTGAGATGTAACCAGCGATCCCTTCATTTTCCTGACACATGTGAATCTACAGGTTTCCGTTGTAAATTGAGAAAATTCTGGCATAAATAAAATGTGTTTTTTGCATCCTGAGCATTGCTGCCTCCCTGTCTCGCAATCTGGTTGTTCGTTGCAGCAGAATTGGTTGGTTGGTTAGCCGAGCCGATGATATGGTGGGTGGATTGATAGTTCTGACTTTGGGTGACCAGGCTAGCTGTTGCCTCTAGCAGGGCCATATGGCTCGTGCTGGAAGAGTGTTGGTGTGATGGAGGCAAATCACGATCGCCTGTTTCTACGTTTCCTTGTTATTATACCCCATTCAAGATACAATTTATTTGCTTGTTACAGCAGGACAGCGAGTGGCTTAGCCCCCCTGTTTCTTTGCATTTGCTTGTTACTACAGCCTAGTCAAAGATACGGTTTATTTGCTTGTTACAGCAGGACAGCGAGTAGCTTAGCCCCTCTGTTTCTTGTCTGCATTTTCTTGGGCTTAGCCCCCCTGTTTCTTGTCTGCCTTGTTATTACAGCCCAGTCAAAGATACAATTTATTTGCTTGTTACAGCAGGACATCGAGTAGCTTACCCCCTCTGCATTTGCTTGTTATTATAGCCCAGTCAAGATACACTTTATTTGCTTGTTATAGCAGGAGTGGCTTAGGCCCCCTCTGTTCGGAAGGAAAAATGGAGGAATTATAGAGGATTGAAATCATATAGGAATTTTTTTTATGAACCACTTTGGAACAAAATATTGGGTAAGCCCTATATTTGGTTCCTACAAGTCCTATGAAATTCCAACGGAATGGTTTGTTTCATAGAAAATTTAGAGGAATTTTACCAACAGAATTAACATCATGGAAAGTTTTCTTTGTGTCACCCTCATCAAATTTCAGTGTTTTTTCTCTGTTTTTTCCATAAAATAAACTGATTGTTATGATATACGTACGATTCATGCATTTCAAAGGCCCCCTCAATTTTGCAATTTCTTTTATTTTCCTAATCCATATAGGGTTCAAAATGTTAGAGCATTCTATTTGTTGATGTTAGATTGATCCCGAATCACAAACTAGCTAGGGCTTGATCGTCCGGGCCGCCACGGACCGAAGAGTGCAACGAGGATCACACTTACGTGGTGAAGAACGGAGAGGTTTACGAGCAAACCATCAAATGATAGGTATCGCGCTTACGTGGCGAAGGATGACTAGTATCCGGGCAAGCTAGCAAAGGGTAACCAATCATGCTTGCATGACGAAGAACGACGAGTTTCTGAGCAAACTAGCAAAAGAACCGTCGAAGCTCTTGGCCGGGAGGGACCTATGGGGGCAAGGATGTCGCGAGAGGGAACCACATGGGGGCAAGGATCTCGTTTGGCCGGGAGGGACCCCATGGGGACAAGGATGTCGCTGGGTTGTCCTAGGTCGACTGGCAAGCCATCCTTGATCGTTGAATCAAGTGATGAATAGCAACATAGGTTTGAAAGATGACATAAAGGAGCTGTAGATGTAAAAAGACGATTAGATTGTTGGATCTCAGTTGGTCATGTATCTCTATTTTATAGGGAGTAGAAGTGGTCTTATCCCGTTGAAAAACCAATGTGGTATTATTATGCCATTTTATAGAGTTTTTATTAGGTTGGGCCAAAGCATCATAGGCCTCTTAAAATTGGCCTTGGCCAAATTTGAGTATCGACACTATTCCTTTTTTTTTTCTTTACATGGGCTTTTAGAAATTATGCTTTCCATAGAGAAAGCTTTACGATATACTTCCCGCCGCTTTAAAATAAGTGTAAATCTCATTTCTCAAGAAGTGAAATCATTTTAAGCTTGTACATTTTTTTGGAAGGAGAAAGTACACATTTTTTTTTGTGCTGCCTGCAAGGTCATGGGGATCATATTCAGAGACAGGTCCCCTGTTTCTTGTACAGTAATTTTTTCACTGTACTATGTATCCATTCTATTTCTTGTATCATACTCCGTATATATATGTGTACGAGGGGAACACAGACAGACACACACAGGTAACAAAGTCACACGGACACGAACACGAATTCGAACTCGAGGATGCATATTGGGCTCCAATTCACTCCCCAGGGCCGCCTGGTCACTGGATCATGCACCGCGCCATCGCCCTTCTTCGTCCTTGCCTTCTTCCCTGGCGCGTCACCAGCGGAACGGGTTCTGCTGTTGGAGGCAAAACTTTAATGAAATCAGCTCAGACAAACCGCAGAGTACGTGGCAGGCAAGGCATGGCGCTGCCCGCCAACGCCAAAATCAGATTCAGAAACACACTGGAATGACTGGACTGGTAGCATTAGCAAGCAAGAGCATCACTTACCATCCCTCGCTTCTTCTTCTTCTTCTCGATGTACGCGAGGACCTCCTCCTGCTGGCCATTCGACGTCTCCAGGAGCTTCTTGGTGGCGTCGAGCTCCGTCTCGAGCGCCTCGACGCGGGCGGCGGCGGCCTTGAGCGACTCCTCCAGCTCGGGCGGCACCTCGGGTGGCTTCGCCGCGAGCGCCGCCACCTTCCCTTCCAGGTCGTCCAGGCGCTTGACCAGCGCCTGGTACTGCGCCGCCGACACCACCACGGTGTCGGGCCCGCCCAGCTGCTGCTGCATCTGCATCTGCCGCGTCTTCTTGGCCATCGCCTCCATGGTGGCGATGCCCATGGCGGCGTCCATGGCCCGCTTCGGCGCGATCTTGCCCACCCGGAACATGGCCACCACGCCCATCACCAGCGCCATGAACCCCGACACCACCTGTCGGTCCCCCGCGTCCCCCTGCTTGTACGCGTCCGGCAGCTGCGCGTACATGTCTCGCGCGATCTGCAGCTTCTCCTCGCTCACCTCGCCGCTCCAGTTGAAGTCCATGCCCCCCCTGTCCACGCCCGGGAACAGGCCGCCGTCGAAACTACTATCCTTGGCAGGAGGAGCCGGGTCGTTGGCGGGTTTCATCTCATGGAGGGGAGACATCTGCGGGTGCTCAATCTTCTCGCGCGCCACCTTGGGAGAATCCACGGTGCTGCGACGCATGGAGTCTTGCTTCTGCAGTGGATCGGAAACGTGCACACATGAAAAAAAGGAAAGCGGTGTCAATGAGCAAGCCACAACGTTCTGCTTGTTGCTGATTGTTGTTCAGACTTCAGAGCTGCAAGATTGTGTGATTTTTTTTTTGAAACAAGATTGTGTGAGTTGGTGCCATGACAATTGACAAACACCTTGGGAACGGGCACTATTTCGTCCTCGGTGATGAGCTTCTCGTCGGCGTCACGAGGGTCCGCGCTGTTCATCCCGCACCTCCCCATGCCGCATTGGACCATCTGAAGAGCCAGGAACAGCATCATACCAAATAAGAAATGTTCAGACCACTGTTTTTTTGTTTCCAACTTCATCAAGGCAGTTTGAGAGCTAGTTCAGTACATGACTGAAGTAAAAATTTTAGACAAGGTATATCCAGCAAAGTAGTCTAGAACCTTGAGGATTTCAGGGTCCTTCCATGGCCCTTTGTCGGAGCGCATACAGCCGCCTTCGCAGTTGCAAGTGCCGCCGAGGAACTCAGGCAACTCGCTGCACACACATCACAAGAGTCAAGCACAGCAACACAAGTGAGACTATTACTGTGATATGTGCATCATTCTGGTCTGTTTGCTATACTCAGCAACACAAAGCCAACTGCAAGTTGGAGAGGTGTAAACTAAAGGGTTCAGAAACTTGAGCAGGGAGTTAAGTTGAGTTCTGTTCAGTTTGTTCAGCAAACCTGGCATCAATCACTTCCAGGAGCTTGCTCTGGTACTTGTTGCCAAGGACCTGCACCATCAGAGCAGAGCAGGGGGTTAGAAAACGTCATGACATGTGATCGATTGCAAATGCAGCCCTGATCAAGTGCAACCAAGGCTTCTGATGAGGCGATCGGTCGGTTACATGGATCTTGGCTGTGGTCTTGGGGTCGAGGAACGACTTGACGGTGTTCCAGAGCAGCCTGAACCCCTGCCCTGCGTTGATGATGAACATCCGGCACAGCGTCTGCATATCACCGATTTGAAATCACCAATGTAGCACTAGTAGCAGAACATTGCAAATTTGCAATTGATTCCACGAACAATTTTTGTTATAATCGTTGAGCGTGTGTAGTTGTGTCAAGACCTCAGGGTAGTTGTCTCCATCGATCTTCTGGAGGCGTCCGATTAGGTCCCTGGCGGCCTTGTTGAAGTTCTTGTACCCCTGGGCAATAGCACAAGCCATGGATAAGAAGAAGAAGCAACCAGCAAGCAGCAAGGCAGCAAGCAATGGATGGATGGTGGTGCTCTCTAACGGACCACGCCGGAGACGTCGAGGATGGTGGTGCTCTGGTCGATGTGCTTCTTGGCGGAGATGGAGCAAGCGGGGAACTTGACGGCGAAGGCGCGCTCGAACTCCCTCACGTGGTACTGCACGTAGCGGTCCATGCTGGTGACCTGCAGCAGCTTGGTGGTGTCGATCTGCCCGAGCTTCTCCATGTACACCGGCCGGCCGTCCTTGTCCACGCCGTGGTGGCCCTGCGGGTAGTGCTCCAGCACCTGGTCCATCTCCTCGAACACGAAGTCGTCGATGATGGTGTCGGCGCCGAACTCCTTGCGCCACTGCAGCATGTCCGACCACATCTGCTTCGACTTGTCGATGTCAAACTTGCGCGCGCGGAGGAACCGGAGCATCATGTGGTAGTCGTCGTGCCGGGCGGGGAGGAGCTCCTCCAGCACCAGCGTCTGCCGGAACGCGTCCACCTGCTTCATCTCCTCCGCGTCGCGCACGTCCTCGATCGACACCGACATCACCTTGCTGCTGCGCCGGCCCATCGACTTGCGGCTCAGCGAGCTCCGGAGAAGCTTGGACGACGCGCTCATCGCGCGGTGACGCAGCGACGACGTGCGCGACGCCGACGCCGACAGCGCTGCTGCCGTGCCCTCGGCGCCGCCGTCCGTCGCGGCGGCGGCGGCCCCGGGCGCCACGGCTGCGGCGGAGGACATTTATTTGGAGTATGTGGTGGCGTGGCGTCCTCGCGCGCTGTCCGACGTCTTGCGGCGGCGGCCGCGGCTGCTACGGACGGGCCGAGCGCCTCCCTGCTGCTAGCACCACCGGCCTGAGCGATTCATCATCAACACACGTCCATTAATGGCGCGCGGCGAGATAAGATACATGCATGGAGATTGGAGATGGAGGCACCAACAGAAGATTTTCAGACCAGATTTCTTTCTTTTTTTTTATTTTCTGCGGATTAGATCAAGTGATCAACCAATCAATCAATATGTGTTCCTAAGTTCGTTCCTAGAGAGTCGGAACAAGAACTCGAAGCCGGAATTTTCTTGAACGATTCGATTGCAGGACTTCTATCCGATGTCCAAGAACAACGTGCTAATTATTCAGGAAATGTTACGAACAGGAAGCTATTAATATATGTATCGAAGCGAGATCGAGCGATGCGATCGATGCGACGAGTTTATTACCTCGGAGACGTACGGCGGCCTCGACCAGGAGATCGCGGAGGAGGGCGGAGAGAAGGCGAGGGAGGAGGGAGGAAGAAGAAGGGTGGCTGACGATTGCAAGCTGCTTGGGTGACGAATGCATGGCGGGCCTGTGCCTGCCTGTCTCAGGAGATTGCAAGCTCCCCGTCGTCGTGAGGTGTCGTCCCCACTAGCTATTTCTGGCAAAGTCGCAGCTGCGCCGTCCGTTCCAATTCTGTTCTGACAGAACATTCTTCTGTTCTGCTGCTTATGTAATTAACAGCATCTCATAATGTGATAGCATTCATCTGAATCTGATGATGTAGACTTGTACTGCTGCTTCTACTACTGCATCGATCCGGTTATCATCATTCTAGGAAATCTATGGATGGATTGGATATACACGTGAATTTGAAAGATTTTGTCCTCTAATTTAGTACTTCCCCCGTTCCAAATTATAAGTCATTTTGAATAGATGTACCAAAAAAGTTAAAAGGACTTGTAATTTTGGACGAAGGGAGTACTCACTTTGTTTCAAATTATAAATCGTCTTAATTTTTCCATAAATCAAAGTCAGACTTTAACAAGGTATATAGAAACTACTTTTTTGAACCTGCAGGTTAGTCTGATTTTCAATCATGAAGTACAAACGGGACTGGACACCCTCACTGTTGAAACCGAACTAATTTGATCCTCTAGCCGATTTCAAAGTTGATTTTATATTTTCTATTAGAAAAAAATGATATTGGTTTCATAATTATCTGATTTAATATAAACTATTAAGCTAGATTTAATTATTTTTAGAAAATGTTAAACCACCTAGAGGACCAAATGTGCTTGTTTTCAAAAAATTGGAGAGCATCCGGTACCCGATTTCATATGAAGTCAACTTTCTAGCTTATATATATGCTAAAAAATGAAAAAATGAAGTAACCTATAACATGCTAGTATGGAAAAAGTGTAAGCATGGACACATTGATCATACCAAAGTTTATGAGCTTAGCTCTTTATAAAAGGCTAGTTTATCATTCTCACTCCTTATTGAATAAAATAATTTATGAGCTAGCTCTTAGAACGGTTGTTGGAGCTGCCCTTATATTCTACAATGTCAAACAGATACACCATCGAAATATATGCCATGTTGTACCTAATGAATCTAGTTTGATGTTATAGATGTTTATACATTTTCAATAAACTCAGTCAAAAACTACAGAAGTTTGATTAAAAGCAAGGCTAAAACAAATTAAAATTTCAAACATAGGGAGTGTTGGCGATTGTGGGAAAAGATAAACAAAGCTAAAACGATTTACAATTTAAAGCAAAGGAAGTAGTAGAGATTGTGAGAACAGACAAACAAAGCTAAAACGACTTATAATTTAGGGCGGAGGAAGTTCTAGAGATTGTGGAAACAAACACGCTAAGCTTAGTTTCTCGTGCCCATTCACTATTTCACTATGTATATTATATGTAACAAATAAGATCAATAAAAGAATTGAATCATTTATCTTGTTTCCAATCTCTCATTTATATCCAAGCATCAATTTAGGCCCCATTTAGATCGGCTAAACTTTTTATAAGATGTAGTAATAACTAGAAAGAGTGAACTAGTAATAGTGATTGGATAGTCGAAAATGGACTAGTATAAAGTATGAAGTAGACTATAAATTGAGTTGTTTGGATTAGACAGAGCTTGTTTTGGTAGTATTCAATAAACTCTAGATGATCTAACAGGACCTTACAACAACGACGGCTTCCAGGCCTGATTCACAGCTCTCATTCGTTATTTGACACTTAAAGTGGGGATCGTGGCGATCAACTCTAGCAACTTGAGAAGCCCCCGAAGATTTCATTTCAGACTACAAAAACTTCGACTTCAATATTTGGCGGGTATGGGGACAGGCCAAGCGACCACAGACGAGACAAAGTTTCAGAAGAAACATGTTCAACAAGACTCCCTCCAAAAAAACACAGTCATACGCAGTTTTCCCACTTGTTCGAGGAAAAAAAACTCCAACTCAGTCATCCTACTCCTAAGTCCTAACCTTGGGGTGAACACTTTTACTCATCACAGCAACATATACCCGTCCACGATAATATATACATTCAGTTATTATTAATACTTAAATAAAACATGTTAAATAACCGAAGCAAAAGAGTCTTGCTATCTCACTCAGGAATTCCATGTGCCGCCACCAATGGTCATGATGCTGCCTGGTTCAGCGAGGCCTGCTTCCGACCATCTGGGGATGCAAAAAGGACCACCGGTTTCGACGGCCTCATAAACGGGGTATCGCAGCAGTAGTATCCTTTCCTCTCGATCTGTATGCGCCCTGTTCGTTTGGGCTGATTTGGCTTATAAGTCATGACTAAAAGTACTGTTGGTTGATTTGGTGTGAGAGAAAAATACTGTTTGTTGGCTGATAAGCCATGGCTTATAAGTCAAATATGACCAAGCGAATAGGCTGATGATCTCTCCACGCTTGAGGTTCCTCATGCTCGTGTCTCCAAGCGCTGGGGTGTCTTGTCGAATGCAAGGGTTGAGATGATCTTTGAAGTCATCACCTTTCTTGTTTAAACCTTCCTTCTTTAGCTAGCAGAGGCTACCAAAATTAACATTAGTTCGTCAAAGAACAGGGAGTCTGTCTAACTAATAAAAACATAACAAGCGATCCAAAAATTTAACAAGGAATCTTCTTCCTAAGTCTTTAATCTGGAGGCAGACAATGCATTCATCTCAATCAACATAAATTTTCTTGCAGCATTACTCCAACATTAAGCAGGAATTGAGGGGAAAGGAACTTTGTGAACAAAAATGCAGTTTTGCTGCATATCTATAGAAAACAAAATTCCATGGAAAATCAACATGCGATTTGATTCAGTTCAGTCTTCATTGTATAAGACAATAGAGAAATCACGTTATAACTTGTCAATGTCTCATATATAATGCTGTACAAACCAGTCATGAAACATGGACAATCATGCATGAAATGTATATCTTTCAGCATCACAGTGCCAGTACAGAACATATAAAAGCAACGGGTTGAGAAAGCAGAAATTACCTTTTTCTTGTTGATAAGATAATCGCATTCAACCAATGTGAGGGGGACTAGCTCCTCTACATCTGCTAGCCATGTGATCTTCAATTTTGTTGTCTTCACAGAGCCCTCAAGACGTAGTTCTCCAACTAATTCAGTAATTACTCCACTGTCCATCTTGATCTCTTCAATGATAGCATTCCCCCAGTCCATTAGGGTTACTTCCTCACCTTTGTTAATGGCAGCTGCATCACCATAATCTAGCCAAATTCTATTGGCGAAGGTTGTAGCCTTCTTTCCAGCACCGTCACGTTTCTTATGCCTTGGTAAAATTTGAACAAATGGCTTCTCTGGACCATTAGTAAGAGTAAAGATGACACACTGCTCTTTTAGCACAGATGCCTTGCACATACTGGATCAATTATTTTCTTGTTGATTGTCCAGAGTTTATCCCACTCCATAAGATTCACATTTTTAAGCACCCTTTAACAAACAAAATAGATATGAAATTAGGATTAAATAAACATATAGGAAATACGAACATAAAGCATGAGCATTGTTGGTGTTTTCGGATCACCGACGAGTAAATTTGTATTTCCGCGTCTGGCTCGGATGGTGTGCTCGGATGACACAAGGGTTTATACTGGTTCGGACGGAACGTCTCTACGTCTAGTTCGCTTACTGCTCGTGTTACCGCCACTTGGTTTGCAGTAGGGGTTACAAACAGGCGAGAGAGGGAAAGGGTCCCAAGTCTCTGGTGGAAGGAGTGAACAGGTGCTGAGAGCTCGATTGCCGCTCATCCGTGTGCTCGTGTCATGCTCTTGTGTTTTTTTTGTTTTCTAAGCGTGGGGCTCCCTGCTTCCCCTTTTATAGGCGAAGGGAAAGCGCGGATTATAGAGGAGGAAAAGGAGAAGGACGAGAAAGAGAGAAGAAGGCTTCCAGGGTTGCCGGATCCTTCTTCTCCTTCATGCGGGTCCCGCTAATCCTGTAGATGCCAATAGGGACAGCTTCATATCATGGCCCTGTTCGTCACTGGCGCCATGCGCAGGCGTCGTCTGCCGGTCATGGCGTTCCACTCCGTCCCGACGGACGTCGTGGTGAACTGTGGCGCGCTGTCAGCGTCCGTACAAGGATTAGGCAGAACAACACCGGCACGTCCGACACTGTTCTTGATGTGAATCTCCAGGTATGATCCATCATGGCCACGGGTTACATCGAGGCGTGCCAGCCTCTTCCCTGGCGTCAGAGTTTTGACCCAGGCCCATACGCTTTGACCTGGAGTGGTTGGCGGCGGTATAGGTCCCCGTCGGACGAGACGGAACCCGTGTCCTCGAGGTCGGATGAGACGGAGCCTACGACCTTGGGTGAGACAGATCCCGCACCTAAGGGGTCGGGCGAGACGGAACCTGAGTCCTTGGAGTAGGGCGAGACGGAGCCCGAGGCCGGGCGAGATGAAAACCGCGTCCTTAGGGTCAGGCGAGGAGGAGCCCGCGCCCAAGGGGTCGGGCAAGACGGAGCCCGTGGCCTTGAGGTCGGGCGAGACGGAGCCCACGGCTTTGTGGTCGGGCGAGACAGAGGGCCTTGGGTCGGGCGAGACCTTTTAATACGTCTCGAGCCATCCGGGGAAGTCAGCGTGGGCGCTAACTTTCTTGCTTTAGGTATCCCTAATATCGATAGTCGACAAGCATATTAGCACATTACTTTACCTGCTGGAGTATAAATTGTATCAATGCCTCAACCTTTAATCCCTTATGTACTATGCCTTGAACAGTTGGAAACCGAGGGTCGGTCCAACCTTCGACCTTCTTGTTTTGTACAAACCAAAGAAGGTTTCGCTTGCTGAGAAGAGTGTAAACCATATATAATTGGCTGAATTCAAAAATTTCTGCTCTCCTTAAGCCCATGTCTTGAAGAATTCAATAATACTGTGCTTTCCTATCATGGTATTCACCGGAACGAAGAGCATGTGTCACTCCTTCCAATGCATCCAAAAATGGGCAAGCAAAGTCATATGTTGGATAGACCTTGTACTTTGAACCGACACGATGGTGACGATCAATATTACAACTGTAGTAAGCAGGGTCCCTGAGTGTCTTGTTAGGATCCTGCATGTCAAGTTTACCCCTCACACAGCACTGCATGCCCCTTTCAGTTCCATTAACCATCTCTTTCCATAATGACAGATTTTCCTCCACTGTATTATTTCTGCACCTTGATTCAATACGAGCCTTCCTATCTTTCTTCATTTGAACCATAGGTGTGTCATCAACATATGCTTTGCCCTGCTTAATCAAACTTTCAGCCACTTCCATTAGCTTTGGAAAATAATCAGATGTATATGTGACAATCATATTTGATCCCCAATGTCTGAATATCTTTCAGAATGTTCTCGACAAACTCATTGCTTTCTTTTGAGGGGTCGAACTATCAGGCGCCCTTGATATCTTTTAGCAAAGTACTTGTTCAGTAGTGCAGCCTTTGCATGACCAATATGGAGGTACCCGCTAGGTTCTGCGGCAAAACGAAGGCATACTTGCCCAACTTTTGCACCCGGGAGATCGTCTTCTTGAGCTGATGGATCCATAGAATCATGTACCTTTTCCTTGAGGCTTGGTGCATGAGATTTTTTTTTCGCGATCGTGCTGAGGCACGTATTTCATTAAGCAGAGAAGAGTTTTTGTTACATCGAAGAGAGGCCACGGTAATCCTTGGTTACCGAGACCCTCTTCCCCAACAGCGCACGGATGTGATTACATACTAAAAGTTTTTTGTGACTACAGTACAAGTGGGATCACTGGAGCGCCATTAACGTTGCAGTCGATGAGGCACCACTCGTCAATCTCTTGCTGTATCAACACCTCCAACTGGGCTGTCGATGTTGAGATCCTATTGAAGGTCCTCGCGCTGCGCTCTTTCCACAGCATCCACCCAATGAGGAAGAAGAGGGAGTCGAAGCCTCTACGAACAGGTTTTGGGATTCGTTTCCTGCATTGCAGCCACCATGCCATCACCTATTCTTGCCGCACCACCACAACATCATGCAGATGTAGTCTTCTGAGCCATGAATCCCACACCTCACGGCTGAAGGTGCAGCCAAGCAGGATGTGCTCTATTGTTTTAGTGTCCTGATCACAAAAGATGCAAGTATTTGAATCTTGCAAGCCATGGCGGTACCTCCTGTCCGCCGTCCAACATCTACCGTGCATAACCAACCAAAGGAAAAACTTGACCCTTGGGGGAGCCAAGGTCTTCCAAATCTATTTGGCCCTAAGAGGTCTCGAGGAGCCGAGAAACATCGTGCCGTGGTCGACACCCGCAGAAAAGCCGTGGTCGGTGGGTCGCTCTGTGTGAAAGTGTCGGGTTCAGACGACAACTGCACCCCTTCCAACATGTCACACAATCGGTCAAACTCAAGAAGCACCTGCATGGTAAGCGGACCTATGATATGCCTGATCCAAGCATTTTGATGAAGCGCCCCGCCACCGCCGCTTTTTTTCTCCCCGACGCCACATACCACGAAGAGCGCCGGGCAAAGGATTCAATGGTGGAGCCTTGGAGCCACCGATCATCCAGAAGAAAGTGGACTCGCCGTTCCCCAAAGTGAACACCGCCGCCGCTTGAAACACTGCGAGCACCAATCGCTCATGGGAACGGGGACGGCATCGCTTTCGGTCCGCGCGCCGCCACTCCCAACGCACATCCACAATCAACTCGCACGCCGCTGGTCAGCAATGCTAAGTCCCCAAGGTCTCGTGGGTGGCGACGACCTCCCACGCTACCTTGCAGGGGCCGCCAATAATAAAGATTTCGGCACCGGACCGGAGGAAGGCGATCGAAGCTTGTCGATGGACTCCACCGCCCAAGCGCACAAGCACGACACAATCGACAAGTGGGTTGAGATAGATGACATCGTCGCCTTGACCGATGCAAGCGCCAAAGCAACATTGAGCGATTTCCTTTCCATTTTGGAATCCTTGCGGCGTCTTTGTCAATGAGGGCTGCTCATCCGAGCACTTGAGTCTTCGAACAGAAAGAGGCACCCCCAGGTAGCGGCATGGGAAATCCTCGATCCGGCAGGAGAGGATGTCACGCACACGAGCGACGTCAGCGTCGGAGCAATGCAGCAGTGTTGCAACGCTCTTGTCGAGGTTGGAGAATAGTCTAGACGCTAGGCCAAAGATCATCAGTACTGCCTTGATGGTTTGGAGATCGCGGGCGTTTGGGTTGACGAAGAGCACCAAATCGTCCACATACAAACTCACCCTGGTCTCCACACTTGGGTGCAACGGTGTCAGCAGTAGCTGCTGCTCAGTCCACAACAGAAATCGATTGAGGACCTCCATGGTCAAGATAAACATCGGTGAGAGTGGATCGCCTTGGCGGAGACCGCGAGCATGGCATATTCTTCTCCCTGGCTTGCCATTTAGCAAAATTTTTGTACTGGCCATGGATAGGATTATGGAGATCCAATTTGTCCAGTGTTGGCCAAAGCCCATGTGCTGGAGTATCTCCAAGAGCCATGACACGGTGTCAAATGCCTTGGCAATGTCAATTTTGAGTAAAATGGCTGTCGACTGTCTTGCGTGGAGGGCTTTGCAGGCAATCTGAACTTGCCGTAAGTTGTCATGAATACGTCGTCCCTTGATGAAAGCACTTTGGTTGTGCATTACCAGCCTGTCTAGAATAGCAGCCAGCCTCTTTGCAAGGCACTTGGTAATCGGTTTGCTGAAACTGTGGATGAGGCTGATGGGGCGGTAGTCTCTGATTTCTGCCGGGTGCTCTTTCTTTTTTAGGAGTATCATGTAAGCGTCATTCAAGTGGTTGAAGCTCCTAGAGTCCAGAGACCAGAAGGCATTGAAGGCATTCATAATATCCCCCTTGATAATCTCCCACGTCTTCTTATAGAACAGCCCCGTAAGCCCGTCAGGCCCGGGCACCTTATCATTTGGCATGTTAACAATGACTGACCAGACCTCTTCCTCTGTGAAGAGTAGCTCCAGCGCTGATAGATCTTCCTAAGGTAGAACCAGCGGACGAGATTTTGGTATTTCTCTGATTTCCTTAGACTGTCCCACCGTTGACCAATCCCTGAAGAAAAATGACGCAACAAGCTAAACATTACAACGCCTGGAACCAGTCTGAAAGATGAATGGTGATCAAAACCCATAAGTTGCCAGCAAGATTTGACCCAATTGCATGTCAGCAATTGTCAGGCCATAACCAACCAGAAAGGTCCGGGAGGCCAAGTATCCATCAACAAATGAGCAGGCATTTTCAAACTCAGAACCTAAAAGGAAGGTGGGGGCATATTCAAGCCATTCAATAACCTGCAAGTTTATTAACAACAAGAATTTAGAATATACTAAGAGCAATCGAGACAATAAGTAACTTGTTGACAAGGAGTTGATGAC